CGACGTACGTCCTCCTCCTCCTTCTCCTCTCTCTCTCTCTCTCTCTCTCTCTCTCTCTCTCTCTCTCTCCGGAACGAGGGAATCGTAATAACCGGCGATTGTGCCCCGGTGTCTTCCCACTCGGCGCGCTAATCTCCAGGTGCACGATAGGGCATTAGCGACACTATTGCGATAATAATAATACCTCCGCCGTTCGTCCGTCGTTGTCAACATCGCGACGCCGGATTTACAGTTGCCTCATTAGACGACGGCGGCGAGATTGCGAGCGCTCCGTCCCTTCCCGGAACAGTTTCTTATCCACCGCACCGATGATATTGCGATTCGCCATGGCTTATCATTCACCGATGGCGACGGCCGAGGCGCGACAGCTTTTCACGGAAGTGAATCTCGCCCACCGGTATTCCCCTCTCTGTCACGCTGACGAGCTGTGATGAGTCGATTCAAGGCCGTTGTCGCGCAGTGAAGTTTAGCGACTCCGCTCTCGCCTCGTTGATTACGACCTGATCAACGTGCGTGGAGTCGCGATACGCGATACCACCGCCGGATGTAACGGTACTCGAACGTGTTTTCCCCCGATGAGAGGCACGGCCGCGAACTGGCGTAGTTATTTTGACGAGCGAGCTGGCCGATGAAATCGATACGACGAGAGCATCGCTTCCCCTGTAGATATCGTTTCGCGCACATGTTTGCTCCGTTGAAAATTCTATCTAATTACATTCCTCGCAACGTCGCGTTGCTCACGCGTCATGGTTGCGCGGCGAGTCGCGGGATAACGAAGATCAATGCGTGCTTTTGAACGGAGAGAGAAGTCGTCGAGCGGAACAGAAAGATTCGCGGTTGCGACGTCTGTCAGAGATTAAATCGCTAATTGAGCGGCGGCAACGCGAAATCGCGCGATCATTAACCCGCGATCCGGAGACTCCCGCGTACTCGATAACGCGCACGATCGAGCGAAAACCGGCTGCGTCGCGGCACGCGTCCTTCTCCTCTTTTGTCCGCCGTAGGACGTCGGACAGCGAGAGACATGTCAGATGGGTTCGTCTTCGTAACAGCCTGCAATTAGAACGCCGATAACGACTCGGTCCGATAGAGAATTGCCCGCGATTGCTCGCTCTCAATCGCGTTCGCATTCGTCAACCTACATACCGAGGCGTCCGGCAGTTCTCACCTGCGATACGCGATTATCTCTCTGACACGACTCGATTTGCGTGCTTTGCGGTCTTTCGCGGTAAAAGTTCGCAATGAAAAAAAAAAAAAGAAAAGAAAAATAGGTACAAATTTCACAAAAGATTTTTGGATTTCCAATGCTCTGAACTTGAAGTCCATTTTTTCGCGTATAATAATTTATTATCGAAAAGAATTTCTTGAAATCACGAGATTTGCGTCCCTTGGTACGTTTTCTTTGAAAATTCGAATGTTCTGATGTTCGAATCCACTTTCGCATAACAATTCGTGATCGAGGAAAATTAATTTCCTGAAAGTCCCCGAAGTGACGCTCTCGCGATGTGCGCTGGCGTCACCTGGGCAAAAGGAGAACGAAGACGCGCGAAGAGAAATACGAAACGCGGCGCGCTCCGACTTCCATCTCATTCCCGACGCGCTCCGTGAGATACCGCCGAGTGGACAATGGCCACTAATGATGCTTACTTTGACGCCTGTCGGGCGGTCCTTTCGTGCCATCTATCTCTTGAGTGGTGGTCATCTTTTACGACTCTTCGGCCCTCGTCTTTAACGGATCTCCGAAAAATATTTTCCTCGTACAAGGATCTTATCTCTCTCTCTTTCTCTCTCTTTCTCTCTCTTAGACACTTTCCCATCTTTAGACATTGATGGACAATTGACGATTCCTACGTAAACATTCTCTTTCCGCGCACAATAATTTCCACTCGCTGCATCTGTCGCATCGTCGATCCTTTTTGATGCTGCAGACGCGCTTTTGTCATTGAATTGCGTGTTAAATAATTGGACATAATTGCTAGCGAAATATTTCGAAACTATAAATACACTGGCTGCGTTACGCTTTATGCACTTGCATTATTTTTCTATTATGTCCTAACAGAATATATAATGTATAATAATTTTCTATATTATATAATTCATCTTCCTCTTTTTTTTTTCTATCAATGAACTATATTTCTCTTTGAAAGAATTGTTTCAAATACATTGCGCCAGCGCTCTCGTCGAGCGTGACGAGATCCGAAGAGTCGTGAAAAAAATGGATGTCGCTCATTTATGCTCATTACCGGTGCAAAGCTCCGCTTCCGAACGCGTGCGTGCGAACGTACGGCCACTTCCTCGACCGGCAAGCTCTCTTTATGTAATAAACGTACGCGTGCTTTCACTAATGCTGCTCGAATTTAGGCCCGCGGACTCTAACTGCGAGCTGGTGCATTGCCCCGACGAGTTCGCTTTCTAGCGGTTGTTTAGATCGTCGGATTACGGCGGGTTCTCGCTCGCGAGAGAGTTCGTACGCGATGGAATTTCGAGCGCTCGCTTGATCGACGCTTGCCAAATGTACATATATTCGTATCGCCGCGCATATCTCGAGTTTTTTTTTCCGAATTTTGATATTTTCCGCGATATTCCTGCGGTGATGCGGTGAATGTTAAAATTCTCTCACTCGATAAAAATTGCGCGGCCTCGGGAAAAATAGAAAGGCCGAACGAAGGCTCGAAGACCGCGCAAGAAATCTTTCAGTGATCTAATGACGGCGCTTAAGTACAATAATTTCAGGCACGCGTGTCTTGCGCGAATCGCATAACTCTCGGCGCTTACACAATCTCGTGACGCTGAAACTGATAACGGTATTATTACATTCGTTCGTATTATTAAACGTCCGCGTCTATGCCGAGTTGCTTTCCCGTCGCGATGATTCAACCTGCGTGTTCCATATTGTACACTCGCCGCGCCGTACACAACTAATGCGCAGCTCATATATATGTGGACGTACTCGGTCTCCGCATAATTGGAAAGGGTTTTGCAATCAAATCATCGAGGATTTCGATATTGCAATTAATCGCAATCTCCGTTGCATTACGTGAAACCGTTCTATTCCGCGATTCAATTTCAGACTTGCAATTCGCGGCTGCATTCTACCATCCGACTCGAATTTTTGCCGCGATACGCTGGAAAAAATTGAAAATTTTAATACGCTGTTGCAATCCTCGTTATTATTTTATGCTCCGGTGTTCGGAATGGCATGATGAAGTAGACGCGGATGTCCGGTCGCCGCAATGCTTGGCGCGACGACAGCACGCAAAAAGGCGACTTTTCCGTGATAAAAATCTCTAGTCGGCGCGGCGCGCTCCCTATAATCAGAAAAGCATAAGGGAGGAACGAAGCGCGTTATTAATGGAAAAAGTGAAAGCCGACCGATCGTTTTACGTGTTTGTGTAGGACTTTCTCGTGCGATACTATTATTATTCGCCTGCCTCTTAACGTCTCTATTAGCGAGCGCCGACCGTGGGGACAAATTACAGCAATCAGCGATAGCGCGCGCCCGCGCGCGCAGACCGGCACACGTCAATCGTCCATAAAGTCGCGATTACGCCTAAAGTTATGAAATTCAATTATTCGCTCGGCGAAATGAAACGCTCCGCGCATTCGCGCAATCAACGCCTTAATGAACGAACGCGCGCCACAATGAAAGCAGCTGCCCGATGCTGTTTATCCTGTTGCTCGATGCAGCTGTCAAGTCACAAAAATTAGCAGCGATTAATCGTCCCTGCGAAATTTCGAATTTAAATTTTAAATATTATTCCTTGCGTCTTGATTTTTGCATACGCTTTCGCTGATATATCGATATCATCATATTCAATCCTATTTTTAATCTTCTTGCGACATATGCGATGTAATACTAAGATGTTTGCATATTTCTTTCCAGTGGTAAATATGCGACGGTAAGAAGATGCCGCGAGAGATCCAGCGGCAGGCAGTGGGCCGCCAAGTTCCTGAGGAAGCGACGGCGGGCCCAGGAGCTGAGAGCGGAAGCGCTTCACGAGGTCGCTGTGTTGGATGCCGCGGCCCATTGTTCTCGTCTCGTCTCCCTCCATCAGGTCTTCGAGACCAACACCGAGATGGTGCTCGTCCTCGAAATGTAAGTACAAGGACGTTTCCCATCCATCCTATTCTCAGTCGGGCTATTTTAAATCTTACCTTCGAGTTGCGTGCGGGTAAAAAAATTTTTTTTTTTACATAACGCTAAAAGACGATTTTATTTAGATTCTTCACGCTACGATGAAAGAGAGATAAAACAAAATTGAATGGCGAAGCGCTTGGCTATGATAGCGTGGCGTGCAACTTTCTACGTGTCGTAATCTCTGCTAATTATTATAAAAAGTAGGACAAAGCGTAAACTCGTGATATTTGTTGAGCGTACGCGCGCATCGCGTGCGCGGGTCAATCGGTAAAATAACGTTGCATCGATTCCACCCGACGTGCGTAATGTGCTGAATTTATTTGAATAAATTCACGGAACGGCCTGTCGCGAGCCGTTTATTTTTCGCGCGCGCGCGCGAGAAGAAAAAATACGCACGCTAAATGTAAATATTGTACAAGTCGCGCGAGACAAATAATGTTTGTTGCGACAGGGCTCCCGGCGGCGAGTTACAAATGATACTCGACCGAGACGAAGTTCCTGAGGAACGGCAGGTCGCCAGATTGCTGAAGCAGATTTTGGACGGGATCGCCTTTCTGCATTCCCTCAACGTAGCTCACCTCGACATCAAGGTGAGTTTTCAAACGTTTATATGGCGATGGCGGGCCTAACGAAACGAAAGTACTGCGAAAATATCTGTGTAAGGTGTGCTGGCTGCGTTTAACATTCAGGACCGCGTGCGTGTCGAAGCACATAAATACATCCTTTTATAGTCGATTTGGCAGAAATATATCTGCGCGTCTTGACAGTTTTTTTTTTTTTCGAGAAAGCACCCGAGAAAACACGCGTTTGATTGCAATATTATAATAATTCAATAATTTAGATAACGTTTGTGATCCGGCATTGTATTATGTCAAATGATAACTTTCTCGCGCGGCTTTAAATGCGAATTTAAAAATCCAAATTTCACGAACAGGTATTTCGGGCGAGATATCTTCGGCGGTTCATTGCTCGTAATAATGTCCATGTGTCACGGTTTTATCGGCGGTGCTAAAATTTCCGACAATAACGCCCGTTTTTAAGGCTGGGAGATTGGAAAATAATTCTCGAAGACGCAAGCGAATTGTGCGCGATTCGCTCCTCCGCTATATCTCCGGACGTTAAAAATAACTAGCGATAACAGGAGGAGATTGTCGTTCGTGCAAATAATTCTTATCTCGTTTTTCCTGCCGCGGTGCGCGCAGAACGGACGATTTACCTGAGAGACATCTTTTGTAACTTTCAACATCGAATTATCGCAATTAAAATAATTATACGAAGGGGATAGCAATTTGTTCGGCGGGGCGGAAGGAATTTTTACGAAATACTATGTTGTGGGAGAAAGGTGCACCGCGAGTCCGAATTTTATCGGTGAAAACATCGCGGCGAAGAGGAAAAGAATCGGTTCACCACGCTCTCTCGCCGAAAAGCGTTCGTGAATCTCGGTCGGAGACGAGCGCGTTCTTTATCACGCCGAATCTCGACGGACGCTGCACTCTTCTTCGGGCGGATCGGGCCGCGAGAGAGAAGCTCTCTGGCAAAGGAGCAACGACATTTCGGGCGCCTCTGGCAATTTCTCAGCTGCGGGGCTACGCGCGTTCCGTGTCGCGGTCCGCACGATCGACCTAAATCGTTATGTAAACGCCTACGTGCTCGGTGGTATTCTCTGCCAAAAGACTGATTAGGAACGATTTCTATGCGCTGGCGGTGTACACCTTGTACGTTTTGCGGCACGTTTAGCAGATAAATCAATTTTTCGACGTCTTTCCTGAGCAAAATTAAGATTCTACTCCACGCACGTTTTATCACAAAAATGTGTATTTATCTACAGATAAAAAAAGAATTAAAAAACAGCGGGATTACTTATAAATGATTAAATACATTTTATTAATTCGCTTGCATATGTAATTAACGGTATCAAATATAAAAAGTATATTTTATAAAATATATGCGAGTCAAAAAGTTTCCGAAAAATAGTTATTAAAAAATATTGATTTGAAAGAAATTAAATTGTATTTAAAATATGAAGATTTTTCGAAAATTGATCGACATATTTCTTGTAGTTAATAAAATTCTATAATTATACGAATGAACCGAAGCAATTGACGATAATTGTTTTGTTTCCCAACTTTTCTTGCTATATATAATTCTGCGAATAGTGCTGCGATCCGCACATTTTTTCACGTTTCTACACGCAGATTCTGCCGAGGGAGCATATGGAATCAGTCTTGCGTTACCGTTCACGCCGTTATGTCACCTGACACTTCTCGCGGTGGAAGAAATGAAAATAGATCGGGTACGCGTATCGAGCGCGAGCGTCGTACACTCCTCGATGATTCATCTAATCCCACGCGTCTCTCTCCCCCGATGTTTCTAAAATTCCTTCTCTAAACGTTACTCTCTCGCGCGCGCGATTCATATCGCGAGCCTGCGACAGTTTTTTTCGACTGAGACAGATCGACGACGCGAAGCGACGCGACACGTTCTAATTAAAGAAATCGATGACACGCGCGCGACCTACGAAATGATGGAGCGCTTCGGAACAACGCACGGCGATGGAATGCCGACGAAACCAGAGGCGCCAATCGGATGTTTCTGTCCCACGGAGTATTTTTGTACGCGACGTCGGGAGTGTTATGGAAATAGTCCGCGTCGTATTTCGTCGCTGTTTCACCCGTCGCGGCCAATGTGACGTTTCGCGTTAAGTCAGCGCGGATCCCGCGTAATTTTTCCGCGGCTAAATATAATCCGTCCATTCAAACGGAGTGATGTTTCGTAAAAGTCGCGCAATTGAGCTAATATCTCGCTTTAAATCGCGGACGGGTGGATTCGGCGTCCGGGAATAACTGGTTCGAGCGCGCGGCGAGGCACCGAACGATGATGTATATAAAAAAAAAAAGAAAAGAAAAAAAGAAAAAAAAATGCAATTGACTCTTTCATCTCTCTCTCCCGTTCAATTTTAAACGGGGGTAATCTCCGGGGGCTAAAAATAACTTGTTTACCGCGACCGGAGTCCCATTGCAGCAACGATCGGGAATAAATCTTTTTTTAACTTTCGTGTGCCTCGTCATCTTATTGTACGCCGTCGCCGTATCGTCCCGGCGTAGAAGAAAACGACAAGTGCAACAGATAATTCCGTCTCGATCGGCGGCACGGTCGATTCCGAGGGGGGCGGCGGCGGCGGCGGCGGCGGCGGCGGGGGCGGGGGAAGGGAGCGATTCGGAGCCGACCGATGCAACCTCGACGATGAGTTTCATGCGCGCGCCAAATGACAACCAGTTTTTCCTATTTGGCGGCGGAAGATTTGCAATTTGCGATTTGCACGCTGCAACTCGCGCGTAGGTATACGGGAGGTACGTGTTTATCGATTATCGGCGTGATCGATATGGGCGAGCCAAGGTAAGCGAGTTGTATTAATAATGTTCCGCCGGGCGACACGGGCCGGGCTCGCACTCGCGCCCGCGCCACGCCGCGCGTTTTCAGCCGCCCGATCCTTCGGATCTCCATAACGCGGCTCGCATAATGATGATGGCAGTTATACAACCCAATTACGCGGCTTTCGCAAATTTGCGTTAATCGCTCAATTCATCATTAGCTCATAAATACCTGTCGATTCTGCAGCCGTGTTTCGCGAGCTTTATAGAATTTTATCAATTCGTAATCAACACGGTTGTTAATTATCGTTTCGTTAAAGTCTTCCCCGTTGCGACAACCGCGATGAATAAATTGCAATCGTGGTCACATGTTCGAACGACCTTCGCGATTCATCTTATCGATCCTGTCATGATAAGACCGATTACGCGGCCGGGTTATCCTGATATCACGGTGTTTTCGAATCGATAAGATAACTTTCTGCGCATTCACGGTACGAATACTATTATTGCAATATAACGCAATTTCAGCTAAAGATTCGTTATTGACGATCGTGTAAACAATTTTGCGGATTTTACCGCGAGGCCTACACAAAGCTCGAAGCGACACTTTCGAGCGATGCAGATCGTTTAGCTCGTGAGTTTCACGGGAAACTAATTAACTCCAATAGAATAGGAATATTGCGGTTTCTTCGCCGTCAGCTGGCCGTGAATCGTCGCTATTCAGATGCGCTCCACGGCGTATTCGATTCATTGACCCGCGAGAACGAACGCGGCGGCGTTTATTTTTCGCGCGGCCATTCAAGCGCGGCTGAGAAAAATAAGCCTTCGAGGCATCGACGGCCGATATGCTTTTGGCTGCCGGCCAGGACGCATCCAGACAGCTTTGCATTTCGCGAAATAACACGTCGCGGCGAATCGCGCGCTTTTGTCCGTATCGACGGCGTGACGGCGCATCAAAGCGGATACGCGGCGGTGGAAATTTTTTTAACGCGCATCGCGCCGCCGCGCAGCTGTGATATATACCAAATATACAATGAGATGGATGGCAGCTTTTATGGATGAACCTTTGACGCGCGATATTTATCCTCGTTTGTCCAGCGAGTTTGCGCAGCCGTTTTCGCACAGGTCGAAACACTGTCTCGCGGAATTCTCTCTCGCTCGAACGATAAGAACATATTCGGTTATTGCAAAATGAATATTCGCGAGAGTAATTTCTGCGAGTAATCGCTATAAAATAATTTTTATAGCAATTACCGCAAAATAAACAATACTTTAGATAACTGGCTGGCACTGGTTGCCGAGAAAAAATTTGCGAAATTAATTGATTTTGAAAAAAAAAAGAAAATGAATAGTTATCTCATCCTTTTGTTACGTGCGCGAAACGTAAGACGCGGCGGTGACTGTCGCGCCGACCGAGAAAGGCAATTGGCCGGCGAATAGGTTAACGAGCGCATTCGGGTTCATCCTAAAAATAACGCCGCGCCACGAATTCGCGCGATATGCCGCGGCCAAATATAGATTTCGCGGTTATGAATGGAAAAATGCACGCGAATTCCTTGGCCGGCATCCAAGAGGCCTTCTTGGCCGCCGGCCACGAACTTTCGGGCGCCGGTGTTCTAAAGCCGGCCTCACACACCGTACTAGTTCACGCTCGAAACGGAACAGCTATATCCGTCGCCGCGCCGCGCCGGAAAAGTCGCGCCGAAGCGCGCGAAAACTCGCCGCGCGGCGACGAAATAGCACTGGCGTTCGCCGACCGTGCAAATTCGCGAGAATTTGCACGACGGGCCGTGTTAATTGCGGTTTCCATATGTTCCCCGTGCTTTCCCAGAGTCGCGGGATAGTCCTGATGCTCGGTTTTGCATTCCGCCGCGATGAGTCGGCTGCAAACGTTACTCACGCGCATCCATCATGTTAGAAACGTTGGCAAATATTAATTAGGGAAAACGTACGTGTATAATCACGACAAAGGAATGGAAGAGAATTATCTATATTTTACGCTTTTTTTATTTCGTTTGTTTAATTTTGTTTTTACAATTTACATATATAATTATTTTTTATCCGCTTGTTAACCACGATGCTAACAATTTTCGACGATTTTCTTCGGTTTGCCGAGAAAATTGCGCGTACGCATTTGCGGAAAAATCATCGTTCCCGTTAGCCGACTGTGCGATCTGTTCTGTGGCTTTATCCTTTGCGGCTGTTTCTAGCCGCGGAAT